ATTTTACAGTGAAAACAAAAATAATAATTTAAAATCATGGGGTAACATGTGGAGTCCGATTGATTCTAAAGGATCGTATGAAGATCACAATACTATAATTATTAAAGAAATTTATTAATGGGATTTCACACGTGTGCTTCTTTGTGGCCCCGACACAGCATTGTGACCTTCATATTATCCTTTAGAGTCAATCGAACTTCACATGTTACCCCACGATTTTAAATTATTATTTTTGTTTTCACTGTAAAATTTGAAGAAATGACAATATTAGGAGCAGCCTCTAATTGCCTTGACTTTGACAATGTTGTCAAGGTGATGGCCCTGAACAACATTCAAAAGGTTTTAGCCGTCGGTCGAACACCTTAGGTACCAATGCTAATGGCAATAATATTGTAACTTTGAAGCCTTTTAACTCGAAAGATACTTAATGAAAAAATATTTTATTATAGTGTTTTGGAAAGCTTTTGAGGTAAGCTACAAGAATATGCAATGAAAAGTGGAGGTTTCTATTTAAGAAATTGAAGGTGACATTCATGTGTCTTTCAAACGACTATCCAGGGTCAAGCCAATTGCACCGTCTTATGTCCTCTTCCGAACCATACAACTTTTGTTTGAAATATTTTTCCATATCTTCCATATTTTTCGAGATATTTGCCTGGTTCGATTAAAGTGACTCACCCTGTATATCGCAGGTACATACGTTAAAGGAAATTCGTGGTATATTTGATATCCGTGATAAATGGTACATTTGGCGTGTGAATGTACATGAGTATACTATGAATATACTATGATCCAGCAAATACAGAACATAATTGTGATATAACACAGAAGTAATATGACTACTGTTATACGTTATTAATATTGAGGTTACTTAATTTTTTTTATAACTGCGATATAATTATGTTATAAAACTGTTATGTTATTATGTTATTTACTGGTTAAGTTACGCCAACAATATAACAGCAACATAACTTTAATATAATGTTACATAAGAATTCTATTGTTTGCATTACATTTTAATTAAGCAATATTTTTATACACAAATGTGAAATCATATTTTCGGTGTTTCTCGTACATAAAATGTGATATTTTAATACATGCAAGGATTATCACAATATTATAAAACTAGAATTCTTACAAAAAGAGTGTAGTCATAACTTTACTCTATCAAAATATTGTGAGAGAGAAAGAAGGAATATTCTCTCTTTTTTGCGAGCACATTGTAGGTTAAAATTTGATTACTGATACAACATTGTGTCAATATTAATCGCATTGTGATTGTTGTTATGTCGTGTCAAACATTTATCAACAAATGTCATATATATATATATATATATATATATATATATATATATATATATATATATATTGTGACGTAGCGATTTCGCCGTCATAAAATTAGTTACAAATCGTGACGGAGGACGAGAAGAGCAGTGCTCGTGCCCCCTTCTCCCGCGGGTAGGGCGGCAGCGTAGAATTGGTCTCGCACGCTTTTGCGTGCAAGATCGCGCGTCTTACATTTTCTTCGAGTGCGACAGGTCACCTGTAAACAAAGGACGAACGACGGCGGACCGGGAGCTATCAACGAGCCAGGCGGGGCAGGATCCACCCTTCGCTAACATGAGCGAAGAAGCCCCAGACCCTAAACGCGGATCGCAGGAACAAGCTGGACCTTGCGGAACAAATCCCGGGGGACGTCCTGAGACCAAAAGAACTTCCGGCAGCCACCTACACGATCGCAGAGGTTCGGGATGCCGTCGAGCACCGATGCCCGTCGGCGAGACTCGAGATAATTCGGCTGTGTTGCGCGGGCCCTGTAAGGCGCCCGCGCTAGAGCTGTGCGCTCTCAAAGGACCAATGGGACCTAGCGGCTATCGGCAGCGAGGATTGCGAGCCGAAGGAGTTTCGCGCTCGCGAAAAGCTCATCACTGTGCGGCGTAACGCGAGCGAAGCGAGGCGAATACCGCGAGCGAGGCGCATAAGTGAGCGAGCGAGACAAAGGGGTGCAGCGAGCGAGACGAAAGAAGAGACGCGAGGGCAGACGAGCGAGCGGAGCCTCCAGATCGAGAAGCACCCGGCGATCGAGAGTGTGAGCACGGCGCGGAATTTTGGTGAGCAGACCACAGCTCAGCGAACATTCAGCTGAAGCCGTAAATCGAGGTCGAAGCGGCTGCCGTCGCTTCCCGACAGCCGTCTGAAAGGTTCTTCATCGCGTTTCGAAGAGTGCGACGTGATTGCCGCCGCGGGCGAAAGCCAGCGGGTTTCGCGAACTAGGACCGTTACCTGCCGCTCAATTATCGCGTTTCGCGACCGCACAGTATAGCGAGCGAATGGCGTTAATAGTTATAGGAATCGCACGATTGTAATTCGCGAGTGCGAGTCTCCGAGGACGAAAGAAAGATCGCGTTATTCGGTTCCGCCGAGCGTCGGGCGAGCAAGTGTCGTCGACGCGTGGCAACTTCTGCCACCGTCGCGAGGCGAGTGCTAAAAATCGGCTCTCGCATCGAGGCTGTCGTCCCTCGAGCGATCATGATATGGTAATTAGGGCTGGGATGCGCCCGGCTGGCGCCCACTAGGTGAATGAAGGCTTCAAGGGACGATGTAGCCGAATTAGCCTCGTATCGTGAGAAGCCTCGCGAGGTAGACGGATTCTCGACTACGAATCCGGCTGCCGATCGATCCCGCGAACAGCGAGATTCGGAACCCCGCATCGTCGTTGTTAAATAGAGCGTTAAATACCACGAAGCCTGTTGCAAACTATTTCTGTTCCCCTGATTCCTTTGCTTTCTCCTCACGTGTCGCGCAAAGAGACTTTGCACCTCGAAATAACAACCACGCCACTCTACCTCGTCAGATTTTTTAGAGCTGCCGGCAGACTCGGCCGTCGCCGCCTTAGCGGTGAGGAAGTTTTGGCCCTGTTCTTCTCGCTAAGGGAATTACGGTCACAATATATACAGGGTGTCCCGTGTAAGACGTGCAAAAATAAAAATATAAGTAGAACAGATAAAAATGAACAAAAATTCTAGAGATCTTTTTCAAACAACCACGTAAAATTTCGAGACATTAATAAAAATGGTTAGACAAATTAGAGTGCGCGACGCGACAGGCGGGACATACGGCTCGCAGCGGCCGGCGAAGAAAATGGACGAGCGCACACGTACACGTACGCACACACAGAGCTACCCATTTCCGTATGCCAAACAGCCCACCTTTCTATAAGATAGACCCGCGAGCAATTGTCTATTTTTTTCGCCGGTCGCGGCGAGCCATATATCCCGCTTGCCGCGTCGCCACGCTCTAATTTGTCCAAATATTTTTATTAATATCTCGAAATTTTACGTGGTTGTTTGAAAAATAATCTCTACAATTTTTCTTCAATTCTACCTGTTTTATTTATATTTTTCTTTTGGCACGTCTTACGCGGGACACCCTGTATATACAAGGTGGACCATTTTAATCCATCCAGTCGAATATGTCGAAAGCCAAGCACGGGAGAGAAAAATGTTTCAGACAAAAGTTGTAAGGCTTACAAAAACGCATTCAACAATAGTAGTTATTTGACATAAGATGGCGTCGCCAAGGTCAGAACAAGGTCAACTTTGCTTTTTTAAATAGAAATACATATTTTTATTACGGCATTTTATTCAAAGTAAAAACGCAAATAACTTTTGCTTGAAAAAATTTTTTATACGACCTCCATTTTCTAAGATATTTACGTAAATATCTACAAGATTATTGGTTTCAATAATTTTTTACTTGAATTCTGTCAACTTTAGCGGAAAATATGAAGAGATAAAAATTGTATATTTTGTTCTCATAGAGCTCTGAGAA